AGCCCCCACACATGTACACACACACCTACACACACACACACCCCCATACACATGCTCCCTACATACCCACATATCCATACACACCCACCACCCATTCCCCCACACACCTACACACACATTCCCCACACACATAACACACCCCCCACACACATATACACACACATACACACATATCCTCCCACACATACCCACACACCCACACCCCCCACATATATATATTGTACTCCTCAAGAGGTGTGGGTGTGTGTATGGGGGTATGTGTGTGTGTGTATGTTGCGGGTTGGGTTGAGAGTGAGCTATGTAAGTTTAGGCAAGTTTTTGAACCTCTCTGTGCCTCAATTTCCTCATCTGTAAAATGGGCAGACTAAAAATAATGAGCACATATGCTGGAGAGGATTAAATGAGTTAAGAATTATTAGATGCTTGGGACGGTGTCTGGTAGTTCTGTGTGTTCAGTGTATATCAGCTATTATTGGGATGATGGTTGCGATGGGGGCAGAGTAGAAGCCTGTAGGTGGTGCTGGGAGAGAGTGCACGCAGCGTGAGTTGGCATGGCCTCAGCCATGCTGGACTGCATCAGGTCTCCAAGGAGGAAGGATGATACGGGTGAGCCACGGGGCCAGGGACAACATGGGGAGGTGACAGGAAGGAGACTGGGATGGGGCCCCTTGAGACGGTTGCATCTCCATGAGTTGTCTGGGATGGTGCCAGCCAGGAGAGCATTGAAGAACTTTGCTGGGATTGAGGGAGTCATGCAGGGAAGGGGTGGCAGAGAAGATCAGATAAATGTCTCAGAGCTGAAGAGGCACAGAATGAATGAATGGCATTGTAGGCGAACATCTCTGAGCTGAAGAGGCACAGAATGAATGAACAGCATTATAGGTGGTGAAGGGCAGTCAGAGATGATGAGAAAATGGAGTGCGCACGAGGAGAGCTTGGTAGGAACTCACGTCCTGGAGCACTGAGCTTGCAACGTCGTGGTCCCGTTATGCAAAGAGACTGGTGTCTTCCATGGAGGTGGGCATGGGGTGGGAGGAATGAGGAGGTGGGAGCACCTCACAGGTTGGACTGGCGAGTCAAGCTGACCAGTTAGAGCTGACAGGCTGTAACAGACGTGCCAGCCCTAGCCCACGTTTCCTGTCCTTGCGGCTGAGGTGCTTACTCACAGCACCAACTCTGAACCTCATCCCAGACTCGGCTGAGGTGCTTACTCACAGCACCAGCTCGAACCTCATCCCAGACTCTGACCCTGTTGGTCACAAGCCAGACCTGGGAATCTGTGTCAGACACAAGCTTGCCATGACGCAAGGGCTGGGGGTGACCCACCTCATGGATGATGACGCCATAAATGAAAGTGTTAAATTCCTTAGAGGAAGAAGGAGCAGGACCAGTGGGGACTAGGGGAAGAGGGGAGGAGAGTGGGCGAGACTGAGAAGACACTTCCTAATTGAGTGGCGGGGGATGGCGGTGACATTCATGGGATGGAGAATGGGAATCCGCTTACCTTGCTCACACTTTTCTTTTGTTATTGTTGAGATAGAGTCTTGCTATGTGACCGGGCTGGAGTGCAGTAGCGCAATCTCAGCTCACTGGAACCTCCACCTCCCGGGTTCAAGTGATTCTCCTGCCTCAGCCTCCTGCGTAGCTGGAACCACAGGCGTGCCCAGCTAATTTTTGTATTTTTAGTAGAGATGGGTTTTCGCCATGTTGGTCAGGCTGGTCTCAAACTCCTGACCTCGTGATTCGTCTGCCTTGGCCTCCCCAAGTGCTGGGATTACAGGCGTGAGCCACTGTGCCCAGCCTCCTCATGCTTTTAATAGTTATTTACAGGGAATGTTGTCATTTCCCTCAAAACTCAGGCATTAGAACCTAATCTCCAATGTGATGGCATTAGGAGGTGGGTCTTTGGGAGGTGATTGGGTCATGACAGTGGTGTCCTCACGAACACGACGGTGCCCTTATAGAAAAGAGCAGATTTGGGGCCACGACAGTGAGAGGGTCTGACAACCACACTGCGTAGAAGTAGTTGTCACCTTTGATAAAGCTTGTGTGTTGAATAAGTGAATAGCCTGGATGAGAGGTGACTGAGAATGAGAGCCAGTTTTGGTGTCTGAAAGGCTGCCACGTTAAGAGAATGTTTGTTCCATTTTATTCTATAATGCAGGAATGAGACACCCTTAAAGAAACTCTTGAGTGACAGATTTCAGCCTGATTCAGGGAGAGCTTGATTGACAAGAATCTCAGTTACTTTTGTCATTAATTTCAATCTGCTGCCTTGCGAAACCCCTCCGAACAGGAAATAAGCTCCTTGGACTGAGTTTCCATTATTCTTCTTTCTCCAGAGGGTTCGTTGGTGGAGGCAGCTTAGATAACTATGTGGCAGATTCAGAGGGGAGGTGGGAGTGCAGGTGAATGAACGAGCTGTGATCGCGGCCCCTTTTCACAACCATCTTGGCTCCAGTTGGGCACAAAATAAACCTGTGACAATTGAAAAGTTCTCTATGTATGTGTGTGTGTGCTTTTTGCTGTAGAATCATGTATACGAAGTATGCAAATCTTAGGGACAGCTCAATGAATTTTTACACATGTATTCATCTGTATAACCACCATCCAAACCAGGATATAACTGAACATTGCCATCAGTCTGGAAGGTGCCATCTTGTCACCTGTCAGTAGGTAGTTGCCTCCTGCCTCCTCCCCAGGTAACCGCAATATAAAGATTGTTAATGTAGTAAAGGGAAGGTCTACTCTCTCACAGCTAAGGGTCAAAGACAAGCTCACGTGAAAAGAAAAGGAGGGATAGTTGCTTGTGGAGGTGTTTCAAGGTTTGGTTTGAGTTAAAAATGCTGGGCGGGCACGGTGGCTTCCACCTGTGATCCCAGCACTTTGGGAGCCTGAGGTAGGTGGATCACTAGAGGCCAGGAGTTCGAGACCAACCTGGCCAACGCTCTCTCTACTAAAACAGAAAAATTAGCTGGGTGTGGTGACACATGCCTGTAATCCAAGCTGCTTGGGAGGCTGAGGCAGGAGAATTGCTTGAACACGGGAGGCGGAGGTTGCGGTGAGCCTAGATCGCACTACTGCACTCCAGCCTGGGCAAGAGAGTGAGATTCTGTCTCAAGAAAAAAAAAAAGTGGCCGGGCGCAGTGGCTCATGCCTGTAATCCCAGCACTTTGGGAGGCCGAGGCGGGTGGATCACAAGGTCAAGAGATCAAGACCATCCTGGTCAACATGGTGAAACCCCGTCTCTACTAAAAATACAAAAACATTAGCTGGGCATGGTGGCGCGTGCCTGTAATCCCAGCTACTCAGGAGGCTGAGGCAGGAGAATTGCCTGAACCCAGGAGGCGGAGGTTGCGGTGAGCCCAGGTCGCGCCATTGCACTCCAGCCTGGGTAACATGAGTGAAACTCCGTCTCAAAAAAAAAAAAAAGAAAAAAAGAAAAAAAAAGGGAACTTGATAGATCCTAAGATCTTTTTCTCACTGAAATATTTAAACGCTGTATTTTAAGAAAACTTCTTATTCATTCATAGACTTTTATCTGGCCAGATTTCCACTCTGAGAGCTTTTCTTTCTACTTATCTGACAAACCATAAATTTTACTTCAAGGGCAAAACCAACCTCCAAGCACATTTATGGCCCACGTTTTAAGAGCCGGCTGCCCTTTCTATCCTGTGTCTCTGGTTAAACATGTTTTCATTTTCTTGGAGCAGATTTTTCAGAGAGGGGCTAAAGATACGTGTTCCTCTGGAGAGAGCTCCTGCCTGCTCAGCAGGAAAGAAAATGCAGTAGAACCTCCTACCTGAGTTCCACCCCTGGTCTCAGGCTAGAAGTCTCCTTCTTGATTGCACTGGAGTCCTTCTCTACCCCACCTTGCTTGTTTCTTCCTTCTCAGTTTTTATGTATTCTCCTCTGCCTCCTTTAAAGAGTGGCAACTTTTTGGACTTTGGACAATTCCTATGTAGCAATCTGGGCTGATTTTAGAGAGTCTGTTTCCTGCTTTCCAGTGAGTTGATGGTTGATGAACTGATTTTATTTACCTTCCCCAGGAGGGAGTACAGTCCCAGGATGCTGGGGAGGCCCCCTGGGGACCCCTGAATCCCCTTTATGTTGGCTCCTTGTCTTTTTGTTCGGGTTCCTAGGGATATGGTGTGAGAGGCAGCACAGCTTTGAAATGACAGCGATTGAAGGAGTCTCCTTCTGCCTCTCACCATATTGGGAAGAAGGTGGATTAAAAATATATTTATTTACTTTTAATTGTGGCAAACTATACATAACATTTACCATTTTAACCTTTGTTTTTTCTTTTTTTGAGATGGAGTCTCGCATTATCGCCCAGGCTAGAGTGCAGCGGCGCGATCTTAGGTCCCTGTAACCTTTGCCTCCCGGGTTCAAGTGACTCTCCTGCCTCAGCCTCCTGAGTAGCTGGGACTACAGGTGTGTGCCACCACACCTGGCTAATTTTTGTATTTTTAGTAGAGGCAGAGTTTCACCATGTTGGCCAGATGGTCTCGATCTCCTGACCTCGTGATCCGCTCACCTCAGCCTTCCAAAGTGCTGGGATTACAGGTGTGAACACAGCACATGGCCTGCCTTTCTTTCTTTTCCTTCCTTTCCTTCCCTTCCTTCCCTTCCCCTCCCTCCCTCCCTCCTTCCTTCCTTCCCTCCCTCCCTCCCTCCTTCCTTCCTTCCCTCCCTCCCTCCCCCCCC